AATGTTACCTTCTAGCAGCAATGTCTTATGATAGATATGTAGCAATCTGTAATCCACTACTTTACAAAGCCATTATGAATGACAGAGTTTGTCTGAAGCTTGTGGTCGGATCTTGGATAAGTGGCTCATTGGCTATTAACATAACTATATATCTAATGTACCACTTAAAATTCTGTGGCCCCATTGAAATCAACCATTTCTTTTGTGATTTCAATCCAATATTAAATCTTGCATGCAACAATACCCATGTGATTGAAATTTTAACTGCATTATTAGCTGCTGCATGTTCATTGCCACCTTTTTTGTTGACCTTGGCATCCTATGTTCATATAATTTCTACTGTTGTGAGAATCCCATCCACCAATGGAAGGCAAAAGGCATTCTCAACCTGTTCATCACACCTCATAGTGGTGTCCATTTTCTATGGTTCAATAATGATTGTCTACATTTTGCCTAAAACAGATGGACTTCGAGGAATCAACAAAGTCTTGTCTCTGTTTTATACAGTCCTGACACCTTTATTAAATCCTTTGATATACAGTCTAAGAAACAGGGAGGTAAAAGAGGCTTTTGGAAAAGCAGTTGCTAAATTATATGCCATTAAAAGAATGTATCACTGCAATTTAGTTTGATTGAATTTTTAATGAAATGCTGGTTGGGTTCCCATTTGGTTAAAAATGTTGATTTTCTTTCTCTTTCTCTTCCACAAACATAGACAGAAGCAATTATTTTTCCAAAGGGTAAAAATGGTTAAGATGTCTTCTCTTGTTTTAATTAAAGAAGCCTGGTGGTTTCATAGTAAAACTATGATTTCTGTGGAAACACATTGCTGCTTGTATTATACTTCCTGGACTGATCAGGCAACCATATTGTTGGAAAGCTATGATAGTGCTGATTGTATGAGACAAAAATAGTCATATCTATGGAATAGCTCATCTTCAGAAATTTTGGGACCTTCATCACTGGAAGCTTTCAAGAAGAGACTGGACTGCCATCTGTCAGAAATGGTATAAGGTCTCCTGTTTGGGTGGTGGTGGGGGAGTCTGTTGGACTAGATGACCTACAAGGTCCAACTCTGTTATTCTATTCTGTTCAGTTGAGTTTCTTGTGTCATTTTGAATTCTGTCCCTTTCCACTTAATCAGCTAGTATTTGCACACAAAGATTTGCAGGAGCACAGCTCTGAAGCAGTATCTGTGGACTGAATAAATTAGATAAAAATAGATTCTGTCTTTTATAAATAAATACAGCAAACAAATAAATCTTTTTACTAAATTATTCAAACTATGTTTTGCAGATGTTATGTTTGGGATTTTTTTCTTTCAATAAATTAAAATGTGTGTTCTCTACTGTCAGCTCCATTGTTTGCATTTTAGCACAGATTAATAATTTATTGTCTTCATTTGCTTAAATTTGTCTCATATAGTTATATTATTTAACGTAAGTAGTACACCAATGCTACATAAATGCTAAATGTTTAATCAGGATATAATTATGTGATGTGAACCATGTTGATTCACAGGGAATCAGCATATTTTTTTATACCAGCCCTTGTAAACTAACCACTAAAGTAGAAAATCTTCAATATTTTGTGTGTAATCCAGCTCAGTCCAACTCATTATATTTTGAATTTATATTTAAACTAAAATACCCTTACTCAACCTGGTGCCTTCTAGTTATATTAGGAGCATGAGTGCCAGAATTATGAGATGGGAATTCTTGGAGATCTAAAGCATCATGGAGAGAAGTAAAAACTAGATTATAATTCCCATTATTTCTCACATCTCAACCTACCTATCTACTTATCTAGAAATACCTACCTACATATATACATGTATGTGAGATATATATATGGAAATTGCTCCTGGAAGCACGAAGCCGAGAACACCAGCCTGAAGATGATGAATGAGACTTCGTTGAAACGTCGCCAAGACACTTCCAATTTTACGTGGGAGAAGACCCGAATAACCAAAGACATATATATATATGTATGTATGTATGTATGTATGTATGTATGTATGTATGTATGTTACAAATAATTCAGGGCAGTGAACATATCCAGTACACTTTCCTTCTCCAATTTTCCCCACAGCAACAACCCTGTTAGGTGAGGGTGACTGGCCCAAAGTCACCCAGCTAGCTTTCATAGCTAAGGCAGGGTCTTGAACTCATAGTGTCCTGCTTTCCATGCTAATTTAGGAGTCTAACAAGATAGGTAGTCTAATAAAAGTAAGATGTTTCCATCCTTGATCTAAATGAAGTTAGATACGCAGAATCTTAAATGGATCAAATTGAACCATGCGGAAAAAGATTAACCCCCTCCCTATTCAAGAATAGGTATATCCTGATTTCATCCGAATCCTCTAGAATCATAGATCTTTCCTACATTTTTAGAAGAATATTTTCCATGCTGATGCTCTGAGGATATTTTGGGAAGAAACCTGTGAGAATCCTCCAGATTTCATGGACAATGGCTATGCTATCTGTCTTGTTTTGCAAATTCTAGTTTAAAATCATTTGGAGAGTTGGACGTCCCAGAGGTAGAGAAGTGCTCAAGCTGTAGTGAGATGATATACTGAATTTGGATACTTCTATCTCTGCTTTCCTTTTCCTGTAGCAAGTGAAGTGTAAGCAGATTTTTGAATTATTATTTTCTAATAATTTATGAATAGTTTAAAGCTGCCTTTTTGTGTTGCAACCTTCCTCAGACCTACCTCCCCTTTTTTAGAGCAAGGGTCCTATATGAGTAATCTTGAATATTTTAAGAGCTGCATGGAAGAAAGGAACAAATTGATGTGGTGAAACAAAGAAAAGGGTCCAAAATAAAAACAATACCCTTAAATATATATAAAAATGTACATTAAATGTATATATATGTGTGTGTACACACACACATGCATGTGTGTGTGTGTATGTATATATACATACATATATTCATACACATAAACACATACGTATTTAAAAGCCAAATTTGTACTAGCTATTGCATTAATAACAATATCACCATTTTATGTTGTTTCCTGTTTTATTCTGTTTGGAGAAAATAAACATGTAAAAAATAAGCTATGTACACTTGTTTATTTTGCAGACTCTTCTCTCCAAATGTAATTTTTATGCTTTCTTCCACCCTTAAGCATGTTGGGCATTGGGTTCAAGGGAGTTGTGATTGTCTGGCTATTTTCAGTTTCCCTTGAGCATCATCATTTAGAGATGTGGTTTTCCTTTAGGATAAGCTGAGCTAATTTGCACAACAGGGACCATGCTATTCAATATAAGTTAAATGTAAAGCTACGTTGGCATTCTTTTCTTTTCTTTTTTTGAGACAGTGTCTAATTAGACTTCACTTCAATTATTTCCTTTATTTATGTCAGTCCTGAGTCTAATCTAAAGATCAAGATTAAGTGGAAAATCTGGTGTTAATGGTGACAAAGCTACTAAAAGCTACTCATTAAATATCAGACTTCCTATAAAGGTAATTCTAATTTTTCCATACCAATTTAGACAACCAGAAGAAAGGTGTAGTATATTTTCAGACAATTGTTCACATGCCTATTTTTCTTCAGTTTCCTTCTTCAACATGATAGGGACATTATGCTGCAACCCCAAGTCTTTCTATTTCTGATTTTAGCCAGCTACAACTTCTCTCAGAGTGATCTAATCATTCAATTTAATTCTGTTTGTAACATGAAATGAAACTTTATTTAGAATAGAATAGAATAGAATTTTTTTATTGGCCAAGTGTGATTGGACACACAAGGAATTTGTCTTGATGTATATGCTCTCAGTGTACAATAAAAGAAAAGATATGTTCACCAAGAATCATAAGGTACAACACTTAATGATAGTCATAGGGTACAAATAAGCAATCAAATCATATTAGGAAACACTCAATATAAATCGTAAGGATACAAGCAACAAGGTTACAGTCATACAGTCATAAGTGGAAGGAGATCGGTGATGGGAATGATAAGATTAATAGTAGTGTAGACTTAGTAAATAGTTTGACAGTGTTGAAGGAATTATTTGTTTAGCAGAGTGATGGCGTTTGGGAAAAAACTGTTCTTGTGTCTAGTTTAGGAGTCTATTGAATCTTCTTGAGGTTAGAGTTTCAATTTTTAAAGATGCATTTTTATTCTTATTTTACAAAATTGTTGAAACAGCATTGAGCATTCTATTTTGGTAGAAGAATGCTGGCATTGAGGTATGAAATACTTGCAAATAGGTGAGAAAATGTGAATATATAGAAATTGTTCCTTCTGGTGTAAACATTGGAATTATCAATATACCTACAATTGGGCCCACCCCATTCCCAAAAGAGTCAGCCTCATGCTTCTTAAATGAAGTATTTATATAATGGAACTGTCAGCGTCTCATCACTGACATAGAAAAGGGAGGATGAAGTCTGAACTTTTGCCTGCTAAATCCCTTTGAAGATTCGGTCTCCTCGGAGATGAGGAGGGGGGAAACATTCCTGTGAACTGACGGAAAAGGAATCAGGAGAGTGACTTGGAAGATAGCCAATGAGAAGCAGAGAATTGGGGGTCGGAAAGGGAGGGATTGGGGGGCAAAGGTCAGTATGGACTGCGAAGAGTCAGGATCAGGTTGCTGTGCTCGAATAAAGAGAAAATTTCCTTAAAGATTGGCAGTTTGGAAGTTCATTTATTTTGAGATAGCATCGAAACCTGACAGGAACATTGATAGTGAATTTAGAAATTTGTATATAAAAAGGGGAAACGAACAGTGACATATGCTTATGGTTTTGCCTAGTTGTTGCATTATTGTGTGCTACACATCTCAAGAATAAACCCACAAAATTTTACTTGCTGGATGTTATATACGCAGAAAGAGAATGAGAGACAGAAAATCACAGTGTGTGCACAATATATATGAGAAAATAATTCCTAATATTTAAGTTATTTTATTAAATAATAGGGAAAAATATAAAAAATAAATAAATTTTGTATCATATTTATCATACATATTTGTATCATATTTGCAGGCATGGCAGTGGAAGAACCAGAGAACCAAACTGAAATCACAGAATTATATTTGATGGGATTTGTAGGACTTGGGGATCTGCAGATTCCTGTCTTCTACCTCTTTTTACTTATCTACCTTGTTACCATGGTTGGGAATATCCTGATCATCTTGCTAGTTGTTACTGATTCCCACCTTCATACCCCCATGTATTTCTTCCTGGGTAGTTTTTCTTTCCTGGAAATGTGCTACAGTTCTAATATCCTTCCAATGATGTTGACTAGTCTCCTTCATGGTGGGAGAAAATTAATTTCTATAACTGACTGCATAATACAATATTATTTGTTTGGTGTCTTGGCAATTGCTGAATGTTGTCTCCTAACAGCAATGTCATATGATAGATATGTAGCAATCTGTAAACCACTACACTACACAACATTAATGAATGACAAAATTTGCCTCCAGTTTATAATTGGATCATGGATCCATGGTTTATTTGTTATGAGCATAGTTTTATATCTAATGCACTTGTTAAAGTTGAAGTTCTGTGGGCCCACTGAAATCAATCACTTCTTTTGTGAATTGAATCCAATATTAAAGTTAGCATGCAGTGAAACTCACTTGATTGAATTTGCAACTACTTTGTTATCTGTCTTGTGCCTCTTGCTTCCTTTCTTCTTGATTTTGGCATCTTATAGTTTTATTATTTCTACTGTCATGAGAATGTCATCTGTCAGTGGAAAGAAAAAAGCTTTCTCAACCTGCTCCTCACATCTTGTGGTGGTATCCATTTTCTATAGCACATTAATGATTGTCTACATTTTGCCCAAAACAGATAGCCTGAAAAGAATCAACAAAATTGTATCTCTATTTTATACAATTTTACCCCCTTTGTTCAATCCCCTGATATACAGTTTACGAAATAAGGAGATAATAGAGGCTTTTAGAAAAACAGTTGCTAAATTGAATGCCATTGAAAGAATATACCACTGTAATCTAGTATGAACACACACACACACACAAACACACACACATATGTATCTATGTCTCTGTCTCTGTCTCTCTCTCTCTCATCTCTAATTTTACCATCCCTATGTCTATGTCTATGTCTATGTCTATGTCTATGTCTATTTGTTTATGTTGCATTATTTCTCAATAAAATTAGGATTTGGAATTCTTTGAGGACACCATCTCAATTTTTTATTTCTCCAGATTATTATGTTAGAGATAAGAGATACTAACAAATTCTGCCATGATTTTGTCTTCCTCACTGAAGAGAGCCAAAACAACATTATTAAATATTAGTTGTGTCCTTCTATTTTAAAATTATACAGTTCTTTATAAAAAAAATACGTTATGTATTCCAAATGACTGATATGCATTTTGAAATTAGTGCATTTCTGGAAGATATGGTATCTCCCTATGCCACAGAAGGAAGCATATAATTTTTATTATAGCCATTGTGTAGGAGAGGATGGAGGCACCAACACTAGAAAACTCCTCCCTTTTCTTCAGATGCTTGCTTCTTATTGTGATGGAGCCCCATTATTCTTAGAACATAATTTCTGTTAAGTAAAAGACAAGAATGAGATAGGCAGAAAGGGATTCCTTCCACAGATAAATTTACCCAGAATAGAAAAGACTTTGTGCGTTAGGAAAAGGATAGGATTATATATTTTTAATGTTTCAAGAAAGCTGAAAAAACATTAGGGTGATGCTGACACTGGATATTTGTCATTTAGCCTGCAGACCTTCTTGGATTCAAATGCTTGATGGATCAATGTAGTTCACATAGTGGTATTTTACACTTCTTTCTACTGGAGCAACCAATCGAGGAGAGAGAAAAAAAGATGGCTCATTTGGGGAACACAGATCCAAAGGAAATGTGTTTTACTTCTGATGTTTATTTCTTTTTAAAAAAATAGTCTTTATTCAACCTTTTTTAGTTTTAAAAACACATTTTCATTTTTGCAGCTTTCAGTTATCAATTATATTCAAATTTCATAATTCCAATTTATGGTCTATTATTCTATACATTATATACATTTTTAAATATGTAATATCTTTTACTATATTCTACATTTGTTTTTCTTTAACATCAATTTAGTATATTCTTCATATATGTTATATATATGTACTTACATATTCCTTTTACCCTTTAACATTTTTTATCATATTTTTTTTAAAAATTTGATGTATATGCCGCCCTTCTCCAGAGACCCAGGGTGGCTTACAATGCGTTAAGCAATAGCCTTCACCTTCATACTTTTGTATATTTATACAAAATCAGTTTATTGCCCCCACAAACTGGGTCCTCATTTCACCTACCTTAGAAAGGATGGAAGGCTGAGTCAACCTTGAGCCTGGTGAGATTCGAACTTACAGTAATTGCAGACAGCTAGTGTTAATCACAATGCTTTTTAGTCTGCTGAGCCACCAGGCCCTATTCATAAATATATACAATTTCCAATTTAACATACTTTCTATATAGTCTTTATGCATTAATTTTACATCTGGTTTCTAGCCAGTGATACCACATATTCCAACTTTTGTAATAACTCTGTTTCTTCTCTATCTTTTAACTCCATGATTAATTTATCCATTTCTGCACGGTCAAGCACCTTTTTTTATTATCATTGTGTTTGATGGCATGTTTTCCTGTTTCCAATTCAAATGTAATGTAATTCTTGCTGCTGTTGTAATGTGAAGTATAATATATTGAATCTTTTTACTTATACCCAATAAGAACAACTCTGGCTTCATCTCAATTTTTTGTTCTGTAATTTCTTCTAACCATTTTTTGATTTTCATCCAATAGTTCTGGGCTTTTGGTGATAGAATGTCCCTTGCTCAACAATTTGGTGATCTATTGGGGTACATTTTGGCTAGCCTTGCCGGTGGTAAATGCCAACAATAAAACATTTTATAGATGTTTTCCTTATATGATACTGACATCGTTAATTCATATTTTTCTCCCATATTTTTCCCTATGTTCCAGATCAATAATATATCTGAAATTTTTGGCCCAAGTTATCATCATCTCTTTTACTGTTTCCTCCTCTGTTTTGAATTTTAAAAGACAATTGTAAGTTTTAGTTATCATTTTTTCCTCTGTCTCTAATAATATTTTATTCAGTTCTTGTTGTTCTCTTTGTAAGCCATAATTTTCTTACTTCTGATGTTTAGAACACACCTAAAATAAATACTTCTTTCAATGGTTTGAGTCATGATTATTTTATTTATTCATTTTTTTTAAAGTAAAATTTATATGCCACTCATCTTAATAAGGTGATTATTGAATCTATACTTAGCAGTGTAATGGAACTGGTTTGTTATTTACTTCTTCTGGGATTTTTATTTTAAGTCTCCCATCTATCCAATAACCTACAGAATACAGAATAATAGAGTTGGCAGGGACCTTGGAGGTCTTTCAGTCCTTCCTCCAAATGATTCCTCATCAAAACATTAAAGAAACCCATAATGACTTAGTTCTGATATCAGTCAACTTCAACTAAAAGCTGATAGGATAGTTAACTGCTACTTAAAGTGCACTACCAAAGTTTATTGGACAAGAAGTAGCAGTCAACACTACAATATCATAACAAGGAACAAATTTATCTAGTTGGTTTTCAGTTTCTTTCCCAAGGCTATGAATTAAAGAAATAATTTATTTTGATAATTTTGATTTTCTTTTGATTCAGTAGTGCACAACAAACTACTTCTGAAACTAAAATCTTATGGCATTTCTGGACCCCTACATAATTGGATAGCTGAGTTCCTGTCAAACAGGCAACAAGTGGTCAAAATAGGCAGCGCCCTATCAAATTCTGCACCTGTTAACAACGGTGTTCCCCAAGGCAGCGTTCTAGGTCCAACACTCCTTCTGCTTTATATCAATGACCTTTGTGATCAAATTATAAGCAGCACAACTCTATTATGCTTCAAAATGACCTAGACTATGTATCTGAATGGTCAAACAATTGGCAACTCCAAATCTCTGCTAACAAATGCTAAGTCCTCCACATTGGCAATAGAAATAAGAATATCAAATATTTGCTGGCTGGAAACGATCTAAAAGTTGTCCCACACTCTGTGAAGGATGTAGGAGTACTCATTTCAAAAGATCTAAGTCCCAGAACTCACTGTAACATCATTGCAAAAAAGGCATTAAGAGTTGTCAATCTTATTTTGTGAAGTTTTCTCTCTGGTAATGCTATACTTCAAACTAGGGCATATAAAACTGGAATATGTGGGTGTAGGAACACAGACGAGGAGCCAAACTTCCAGCAGCAATGTTTATTCTAGATAATGACACAGTAAAACATGCAATTTCCGGCTAACAGCCCTATTTATTTATTTATTTATTTATTTATTTATTTATTTATTTATTTATTTATTTTATTTTATTTTATTGTATTTTATTTTATTAGGTTTTTATACCACCCTTCTCCTACTGGACTCAGGGCGGTGAACAGCCAAGAATAAAAACATCACATGCAAAATTTAAGATTAATTTTAAAAGAATTAAACAAGTTTTGGCCCATATAAAATTTAAAACACCCCAACTTAAAGGAAAACTGTCAGCCTTTAACCAATAACTTTAAAATTTGTCCTGACCTTGCATGGCAGAAGGAAAGTGTCTGCTCATGCCTGCACAGACATAACACCCCTCCCCCGTTTCTCAGGGAAAATTCGTATACCACAAACATAATCATCCAGATACATTGGTCTATGGAGACTTCACGTCGACTGGCAGCTCTCCTGAATTTCTGTTGGGCCTTCTTACATCAACTGCATTCTCAATGATTCTTCAACAACATCAGATGCAGTGGCGGGTTGCCCCGGTTCGCACCGGTTCTATAGAACTGGTAGTAAAACCGGCAGGAGGCTCTGCCCACCGACCCTGATGTCATCAGAATACAAAAGAGCGTGTGTGTGGCTCCATTGTGAACCAGTAGTCAAGGTAAGTAGAACCTACTCCTGATCAAATGGCTTACAAATACTCTCTGGGGGGGGTGAACATATCCCTTAGTCAGAGATGGAGAAAAATAAGATGAACTCTGCGGCAATGGACTCTCCATAACAAGTGTTTCATTCTGCACTGGCCTCATCTCTTCAGATACCCTTTCACTGCATTGTCATCCCTCTCACTTTTCTGGATCCCCACCCCAGTTTACTTCTTCCAGCTCTCTAATGGCTGTCCCCCTCACTTGGCTCTGAAGCTGATTGATATGTCAGCGCCACAGATGCCCATCCTCGAGCTCCACCCAGTACAAACGGGGACCCATAACTTCTGTAATCTGTACCAGCACCCATATGGGTTGACCGGTATAATTCTGGGTGTATACTAGATCACCTTGCTCAAAGGTTCTGACCGTACTTTCCCAGTCTGTGAGGGTTTCTGTCGAATAATCAGGGTGTATCCTATCTAAATTTGTTCTCAACTGGTGACCCATAAGTAATGAAATAATAAGTAAATAAATAACGGGCTCTTTCTGGTGGCTACACAGGGAGTCACGTGTTGGTTGAACAAATACTTATCAAATTTCTCCTGATAGTCCCCTGGACCCATTTGAGTCAACGCCTCTTTTGTCGTTCACACTATTCGTTCTGCCTGCCCATTACTCGCAGGGTGAAATGGCGCAACAAAGGTGTGACGTATTCCTCGGTTTACTAGAAATACCTCGAATGCCATTGCCGTAAATTGAGGTCCATTGTCCGAAACCAACATGTCCAGCAACCCATGTGTCACAAACATTTTGTTTAATACTCTAACAACAGCGTCTGTTGTGGTTGACCTCATTATGGCCACCTCCAGCCATTTGGAATATGCATCAACAACAATTAAGAAGGACAACCTCTTTATCGGCCCTGCAAAATCAAGATGTATTCTAGACCAGGGCCCTTTCAGTGTTTCCCACTCCCATGGTGGTGTTGCAGGAGGTGCCGGTCTCAATTCCTGGCATGCTTGATATAATGCCACCCACTCCGCAATATCTCTACCT